TTGGTTGGAATGTATTCATCTTTGTGCGTTGGAGCGTTATCAATGATAAGTGCGATATATCTGCCAGAATTCTTTAATTCGCAATCCCACGTTTCTAAAAATGTATTCCATATTTTTACAAACATCCAACTGGAACTCTCCTGTGAATAAACAACACCCAATTCATTAAAAAGTGTTTGTGACCCACCTCTTGGACATTTTGCTCGATGTATTATAATTGGTTTTCTTTTGTCGCTTCCATCACAATTACAAGTAATTAAAAGAGTTATATGCTCCTTTTCATTTCGACATTTTTTAAAGATTTTTTATTTGTAAGACATTTTCTTGGTAATTGTCTATAAAAAAGCCCCGTTTCATCAGAGTTGTATACATCTGAGAAAGAATATTTTTTCAAACGTTTTTTAGTGTCTTTGATTTCTTCGTCATAGAACGCAAGATCAACAAGTTCCTCTTTCCTGACTCCCATTTAATATTTGACCCCAATCTTATTTTTAACCCTTTTTACGAATCCTGGAATATCAATAACTGTTTTTCTTTTATCATTTTCATTTTGAAAGGATATCATTGATTTTTTCTTGTAATACATAGTCGTCCAAGAAAGAACCCTAATTTATGGCTTTCATTGTGTACTATTTTAATTCTTCGAAAACTCTTTCGTTTTTAACCTTTCTAAAATGTTTGAAGCTCTTTATTTCTCTTCTCCTGTAAACTTCCAAATGTTTTGAATTGAAATTGTATTCTGGAAATTTTGAATTAAATTCAAATGTGATTTCTTTCCAAAAATTTTTAATTTTTGTGGTTTTGTACTTCTTATATAAAGGGGCTGAAAAAAGCGATGTTGTATAAAGTTGGTAACAATAGGTAAAATGTTTTTTAATTATTATTTTGTTATTTGTTTTTTTCCTTTTTTAAAAAAATAAAACCAACATTTTTGCTTTGCCTGAGTATTATTTAGAAGTGTTTCGAATATGTTGTTAATAATATATTTATATTAGGGAGAATACATAATATAATACATGTATTTGTTTAATATAATCGGGAAACCCATTGAACTATTTATAAAGTGATATTAATAGTTGGATTTATAGAGACAAAACCCGTACAAATTAAACAAAGTATAAT